GCAGGCCACAGTGACTCTGGAGCAGGTCTCAAAGGACTGAATCTTGGGCAGCTGTGGCAGTTTCCAGACTTCTCAAGCCCTGAACACCAAAGACAACTTAGAAGGTCAGTGGGAAAAGTCTGTGACTGCGGTGAGAGAGGAGCTAGGTCTCAGCTGCAAGTCTCAAGCACGGCCCCCCGCGTGGCTGCCTCCTGAGCTTCTGGCCCATAGACTGAGGGGGAATTGAGTGGCTGATCAGAGGGGGACTGCAGGGATCTCTTTGCCAGTGCTGAGGCAGGAATCTCTTGCTTTGCCCGTGCTTGGATCTGGGTCACAGTTCTGAGGGGCAGTCCTGAGGCGAGGAGGAACACTGGTGTGGTAGAGCTTGTTGTGGTAGTGGAGAGAAAACACCTCGCCCCTTATCATAGCACCTTGGAAGAACTGATAATTTACAGGTCCCTAGAAGTATCTATGAAAACAGCTATACAAACCCCCGAAGCTTGGGACAGTACACTCTTCACATTGGAAGAAGACTTTTACCTTAACAAAGAGTTTAAAACTCAAGTAATTGACCAAGATCATGAGTAAGCAGCGTGAAAAGAGTCAGACTATATTATCTTACTTTGGTGACAAAGAAGATCAAAACATACAACCAGAAGAAGACAACAAAGCCAAAGCTCCTACATCCAAAGCCTCCAAGAAAAATATGAATCAGTCCCAGGCCTTGGAAGAGCTCAAAAGGGATTTTCAGAAGCAAGTAAGAGAAGCAGAGGAAAAACTGAGGGTGATGCAAGAAAATCATGAAAAACAAGTCAACAGCTTGCTAAAGGAGACCCAAAAAAATACTGAAGAAAATAACACCTTAAAAAATAGCCTAACCCAAATGGCAAAAGAGGTCCAAAAAGTCAATGAGGAGAAGAATGCCCTAAAAAGCAAAATTGGCCAAATGGAAAAGGAAGTCCAAAAGATTACTGAAGAAAATACTTCCTTAAAAATTAGAATAGAGCAATTGGAAGCTAGTGACTTCATGAGAAATCAAGACACTGTAAAACAAATACAAAAGAATGAAAAATTAGAAAACAATGTGAAATATCTCATTGGAAAAACAACTGACCTGGAAAATAGATCCAGGAGAGAGAATTTAAAAATTATTGGACTATCATGGAAAGCCATGATCAAAAAAAGAGCCTAGACATCATCTTTCAAGAAATTATCAAGGAAAACTGTCCTGATATTTTAGAACCAGAGGCCAAAACAGAAATTGAAAGAATTCACCGATCCCCTCCTGAAAAGAGATCCCCAAAGGAAAACTCCTAGGAATATTGTAGCCAAATTCCAGAGTTCCCAGGTCAAGGAGAAAATATTACAAGCAGCCAGAAAGAAACAATTCAAGTACTGTGGAAACACAGTCAGGATAACACAAGATTTAGCTGCTTCTACATTAAGGGAACGCAGGGCATGGAATATAATATTCAGGAGAGCAAAGGAGATAGGATTACAACCAAGAATCACCTACCCAGCAAAACTGAGTATAATCCTTCAGGGGAAAAAACAGTCATTCAGTGAAACAGAGGACTTTCAAGCATTCCTGATGAAAAGACCAGAGTTGAATAGAAAATTTGATTTTCAAATACAAGACTTGAGTGGAACATGAAGAGGTAAACAGAAAAGAGAAAATCATAAGAGACTTATTAGGGTTGAACTGTTTACATTTCTACATGGAAAGATGATATTTGTAACTCATGAGACCTTTGTCAGTATTAGGGTAGTTGGAGGGGAAAAAATGATATGTACGTATATATAGATATAGATAGATAGAGGGCACAGGGTGAGTTGAAAATGATGGGTCATATCTGGAGAATAAAATTAAGGGGTGAGAGAGGAATATACTAGGAGAAGGAGAAAGGGAGAGGCAGAACAGGGTAAATTATCCCACCAAAAAAAAAAAAACCCAAAAAGAAAAGGCTCTTACAGTGGAGGGGAAATGGGGAAGGTGAGAGGGAATGAGTAAATCTTACTCTCATAGGATTTGACTTAAGGAGGGAATAACATACACACTCAATTGGGTGTGGAAATCTGTCTCACCCTACAGGAAAATAGGGGGGGAAGGGGACAAGAGAGTAGGGGAATGATACAGAGGAGGGCGGACTGGGAAAGGGAGTAATCAGAAGCAAATACTTCTTAGGGGGAACAGGGTCAAAAGAAAGAATAGAATAAATGGGGGGGGCGGGATAGGATTAAGGGAAATAGAGTTAGTTTTTCATAGCATGTCTACTATGGAACTGTTTTGCACAACTGCACATACATAACCTATATTTAGTTGCTTGCCTTATCAATGAGGGTGGGTGGGGGAGGGAGGAAGGGAGAAAATTTGGAACCCAAAATTTTAAAACCACATGTTTAAAAAAAATGTTTTCACATGCAACTGGGAAATAAGAAATACAGGAAATGGGGTACAGAAATCCATCCTTCCCTACAGGAAAATTGAAGGGGAAGGGGATAAGAGAAGGGGGGGGAGAGATAGAAGGGAAGGCAGACTAGGGGAAGGGGTATTTAGAATGCATGCCATCTTGGGGTGGGGGAGGGGCAGGACGGGGTGAAAATTTGGAACTCAAAATCTTGTGGAAGTAAATGTTGAAAACAAAAAAATAAATAAAAATTACCATAAAAAAAAGAAATGTTTAAAGAAAAAAAGCAGCAAAACAAAAAACAAAAAACTCAGTTCCTGCATCATACAAATGGTGACACTTCACTGATGCTCAATGATGTGGACGACAGAACATCTGAATCTCAGTGCCTTGAGGGAGTCTCTAGTATGTCTTGGGCAACTACGCAAGTGCGCGCGCAAATACACACACACACACACACACACACACTGCAATGTTGGCCCCATGAACCTCCCCGTTTCCTTCTGAGGCCCCTTCCCATGCTGAAGTGAGGTGGGTGTCTGGGGATGTTCTGCAATGAGCCAAAGAAGTGTCTTCTGCAGGTTCATGCATTCAGCAAATAATTCCTTGAGCAGCCATGATGCACATGATGCCAAATGCGACATGGTCCTTAGCGGCCCAGTGTTTACCATAGAACTGGGGAGACATCACAAGGAGGTGATCAAGTAACAAATCAGTGTTTGGAGGTAAGAGCTTACAAATACAAAGGAGGGAGACAGATAGATCACTATGGGGTGAAGTAGCCAAGGAAAGTTTCATGGAGAGCATGGAACTTGAGCTCACTCAAACATTTGAATAAAATTTAGACAGAAATTATATTAATAGTTCTATGTGTTTCTAGATTTATTGTGGTGAATTCAACTATGAGCCAGCAGTACATTAAATAACCAATACTCCTAATACATATTTTTTTTCCTTTCTGTGATTCTTTTTTTTTTGCTGGCCTTTTCCTACTTCTTCAGGCCTCTATCTGCTTCCTGAGATCTTCTCAAATGTATCAAAATGCACACAGCCCATAGGCTAGTTAAGTGAATAGATTAATTTAGTTATTATACTGACTCACCTTACACAAAAATATATTGAAATATGGTCATAGTTACTTACAGCAACAAAAACAACAATAGCTAACATTCATCTGGTGGTTCAAAGTTTGCAAAGCATTTGATGAAATAATTTCCATTTCCATGACCTACAAATTAGTGGTACGTTACCACTGTGAGCACCACTATGATGGTGTTCAGCATGAATAACAGATAGAAAAGAGATTCAGATATAGACTGGGGCAGGGCCACTCACTATCCCATTCCAATGCCATTCTCTATAGCCCCAGCCCTGAAACGAAGTCACTCACAGGTACTATTTGCCACTGCTACCTCAGAATGACCAGCAGGATGCCCAGGTACAAACTGAGCCAGCATGAAAGAGACTTAGAAGAATCAGCACCAAGTACATCAGGGATATTAGGGCAGACCCTGGTTATGAGGGAAAAATTCTAGACTTAGCTCGGGATGGTACAATACTATGTTTCCTTATCAACAGACTGTTTCTGAGTGGCAGTGCGAGTGGCTAACGAAGCTAGCCAGTCCATGGTTACATGGCCTTCAACAATATGGAATATCATGTAGTTGTTTTCACCTAAAATCTAAAACGCAATTTAAAGAGTGAGGTAATTATCAGAGCTGGTGCCTAGCCATAACACTAAAAGATCCTGTTTCATATTAGCTTGTGTGAAAAGTCAGAGTACCTTCTCTGATCCCAAGTGGTCACTACTTCCAACTAACTAGACAATATCACTGTGCATACCCTCTGATCCAGCAATACCACTGCTAGATCTATATCCCAAAGACATCCAAAAAAAGGGAAAAGGACCTATTTCTACAAAAATATTGATAGCAGCTCTTTTTGTGGTGGCTAAGAATTGGAAATCAAAGGAATGCCCATCAATAGGGGAATAGCTAAACAAGTTGTTGTATGATTGTAAAGGGAATATTATTGTGCTGTAAGAAATGACAAGCAGGATGATTTCAGAAAAACCTGGAAAGACTTACTTGAACTGATGCACAGTGAAGTGAACAGAACCCGGAGAATGTTGTACATAATAAGTACAATATTGTTCAATGAAAAACTGTGAATGACTTAGCTATTCTCAGCAATACAATGATCTAAGACGATCCCAAAGTCCTAATGATGAAGCATACTATCAGCCACGAGAGAAAGAACTGATATTGACTGAATAAAGACTAAAGGTTGCTATTTTTCACTTTTCACTTTCTTTTTTTTTTTTATTAGAGTTTTCTTGTACAAAATGACGAATATGGAAATGCTTTCCTAATTGCACATGTATAATCTATATCTGGTTACTTCCCATCTCTGGGAGGGGAAGGGGGAAGAGGAATAGAATTTGGAACTTAAATAAAAATGTTAAAAGTTTTAAATGTTAAAAATTTTAAAAAGAGAGAGAAAGAGAGACAACATCATGGAATGTTTGCAAGGAACTTTCACTAAGTCCATATTACCCCAAAATGACTCTAAGAACCAGGCAGCCAAAAAAGAAATAAAAATGATACTGCTTACCCGCTCCACATGTCCCTCCTTGTGCTTCAGTTTATACACCTTCAGCTTGGGCAGGAAAGTCTCAGTATAGTTCTTATCTTCTAGCCCTTGAAGCATTATCCCATGGAAAGCTAGTCGGCAAGTATTGGCGAGTATATCAGTATCAAGTTTAGAGCCAATCACAAGACACAGTTTTGGGCAGGTGACAGGCTTCTCGAATTCCAGGAGAGCCCACTGCTGTTTTGGCCACTTCTCTACAGGTTGGTCACTCTTCTTGTCCTCCTCTGCAGTGGTGGAATCCTTGGACAAATATTGCTCTTGATATAGATATTCCTTTCCAAAGTCAAAGGCCTCTTCCAGGGGCTCACAATCAAACTGATCAGGAGCTGGGCTGAAAAACATCACCCTTCCCATCACTGTTTCATGACCAACTGTTATATGAAATTTTGCCTTCGTCTGAAGAGCACCTCGAAAATAAGGAATCTTCTTAACAGAAACAATTGCAGCATGGATGGTATGGAGAGATTCTGGTGTGCACACTAGCCCCCGTTCTAGCAACTTGGGGTCAAACTGGGTCACACAGATGCCCAATCTATCTCCTTGCATGGCTGAGGTGACCGGAGTGTGGAACATCTGCATGGACTTCACTTTCTTCACTACCTGATTTTAAGAGAAGGAAAAAAAAGAATGAATTAAGTTAATCAAAAACAGCTCTAAACCTCTAAGATTTTCTTTTGCAGAGCCTCTATCTTCCCTTATTTCCCTCACATTGCATTAGGCTGTGAGCTCCTTGAGGACAGCGGCTATCTTTTGCCTCTTTTTTGTATTCCCAGCACTTGATACAGTTCCTGGCATGCAGTAGGAACTTAATAAATGTTTACTGATTGATCCCATTAGCAAATCAAACTCTGTTCCATGTTAAGTTTAAAAAAAACAAACTGCATCACAGCCATGGGGAAGAACACACACACAAAAACCTAATGTTTCAGTGGTTGTTGACACAGAGCTATCTCATATCTGTACAATGTCATTTTTATTTCACAATACAGAGCATAGCAACACTACCACAGGGGCAAGGGAGAGCTGGAATGGACCGTGGATTTCACATTGTCTAATTTTCTCATTCTACATAGGAGGAGACTGAAACCCTGGGACCTGAACTGATTTGCCCAAGGTGACATGGCTAGAAGTAGCAGGATTAGGTCTAGACACTAGGTCTTCTGGTCCCAGCATTTTTTCCTACTATTCTGTAGTGCCTCTGAGGCAATAACAAATATTCTCTTATAAAGTTCTCTACATCACACACAAAGATGTTCCCTCTCACCACATTTGGTTGGGAAGGCAATAGCTTTTTAAACAGTCAGATATCACATATCCCAGTGTCTAAAGCTTGAGGAGATGTAAGAATGCACAACAGAATGGTCTGCTGTTTCATTGGTCTAATCTCCTTACTAAAGAAGGCTTTGTTTTGGTTTTTGTTTTTTAAACAATGAGTGCTGTTCAACAATGGAATAGGCTGCTTCCTGAGGTAAGGAAGCAACAGAAGTATTCAACAGAAGTATTCAAAAGGGGTCTAGCATTGCTGTAGATGAGATTCCGAGTGGGAAGAGATTAAACCAATAAAATGCCTTCCACCTCAAAGATGTGATTCAATTGAATATGTGATGAATGCCTATTATGCACAGAGCACAGTGCTAATACCCAAAGAAATGCAAAAACATGGCCTTAACCCCCAAAAACCTGAGACAGTAGCTAGGGAAAGGGAAAGGCAAGTACATAAATAACAAGGCAGAATGTCTGAAGAGCTGGATGACAAGAAGCTTTTAGCACAAAGCCAATACTCCCAAGGACATGGCCCTCTGGACCCTTGCAAAGACGCAAGATCCTAGAAGCAGTTTCAGAGAGGTTCCTTCCTGGACAAGACGACAGCTACTATAAACCAGCTCTGACCCTGAAGCTCTCTGGCCAGGGCTCCACCTGGGTGTGTTTGGGAGCGTTGCTGTTTGTCCTTCCTTATTGAAGAGGACCATGACATCAGGAAGGTGATGCCCTGACATGCAAGTGAATTGGATTTCAGTGAGGGAGGGCTCACTGAGCCTCACTTCCTCCTTCAGAGTCATCTGGATCCAGTGGCCAGATATGGATCAGGACGACTGGAGACGGCCCAGGATGCAGTGGGAGACCTTTTTAAGCTAAGGTCTTTAACAGGTCTCAGTCTGACTGAGGCAATGCCCAATCTGTGATTAAAGGTAAGTAAGAAATGAGGTAGAGAATGGCCTCTTTTACCTAGTCAAAAAAAAAAAATCTGAGAGGGAAAGACCTCTTAGGGTTTCTGGCTAAAATAGAAACAACTGCTATTCACATTCACTCTGAGCCAATCAGGGCCCAAACAATGATCAAGTGGGGCTTGGCCTGGTACCTATTGTTGGCCAATCAATGAGAAGCTGTGTGATAGTTTAAAAGGGTGGAAGAATAGGTACATAGCTATTCTTTTCTAATTTGCAAGTAACCTGTAAACAGGAGAGAACTGTGAGGGCTTCTATGAGGAGACCTTCCAAACAAACTGTCTGATTTACTTCAGAATCAAAGCCAACTTACTGAAATATTACTGTCATAGCAAACAGCATGAAAAATTAAAAAAAATATGGCACGACTTGCATGATGTGACACAAAGTGAACAAAATGGAACCAAAAGAACCATTATATGATTAATAAAAAATTATGTTAATGAAGACAACTCCAAAAAGGCAACAAAAATCACTGATACTAACTATAAATCATACACTCATCCTTTATTTTAACAATCTGTTAATCAACAAGCATTTAATGAGTAAATACTATGTGCCAGGCACGATACTACATTCTGGGAAGACCTGTGTAAAAAGAAATATTGTAAAGAACTCTGGAAAGTTAAGTTAATTACACTTTACAAAGGGAAAGTTACTAAAGGTTAAGATTGTACACACTATTACTTGCAATTATTTTTTATGTTGCTTTCCTTTATTATTTTGAGAGACTATATATTGTGAGGGATTCAGTTGGGAATATATTGAGAGCTCAGATTATATACTAAACAAATTTTATCAAATAATTTTTTTAAATTCACCTGTGCTATGTTCCATATATAGATGTCAAGAAGCTACGTTTAGGATAATAGGATCACAGATTTAGTGTTGGAAGAGACCTTAGAGGACAATGAGTTCAATCTTCTCGTTTTACAGATAAACAAACTAAAGCTAAAAGAGGTAACTTTTAGGTAAACTTGCACACAGAAAGCACACAGGTTAGGTAACTTGCACAGAGCAAGTAACTATTTGAGGTGGCATATGAACTCAAGTCTTTCTGTCTCCAAGCTCATTTTACAAAGCAGGTAAAATTAAGGTACACATATTCAGAATATAATATCATCTCAATCACACCGATTTAAATTATGTAGCAGCCACATCTATTTGTAGCACAATTTCAGAAGGGAGCAAAAAGGGTCTCTGAGCTGCCAAAATCACAAAATTCCTGCCCTTTACTTAGAAGGAAAACACCTTGGTCTTCCTGCACAGTCTGCTGATTCTTTCTTTATTCTGAGCTGTTTTCTGGTTTGTCACCAAACCGGCTATTTTAAAATAGGACGTTAAAACTTGGAGGCAGTTGAGAAAAGCAGCAAAAGCACTAAGAGAAGCAAGAAATAATAACTGACAGTGAAGAAAAAGACAGAAAAAAACACACAAAGACAGCAGATGAATTCAAAAGGCATTAGCAGCATAAGGTCACTTGGCATTGCAGGCCAAACTCGTCCAGATCTTCATAGCCCCTGTAGTCATCACTATGCCATACTACAGTACATAAGTGACCCTCAGCCACCAACACAAAATTTAATTATGCTATATCTGACATCCCAAATTTAAGAAGTCAGAGTGGCATGTAATATATTTTGGAAAGGCTCCCATTAAAAATGCTTAAAATCAAAAGAGTTTTGATGCTTTAAAGGTAAGTGTCCATTATCAGAAAAAGTGACTTGGACAGCTATGGAATGAGAGGCCTTAGGACCCTTTGGGGGAAGTCCTTCCCTTCCCTGGCCATCTATATATTTTTAAAGATTTATGCTCCTAGGAAACATCTCCCAGGCTATGATAGTGGGTCAACAGAACACATTTCTGTACAGAAGCCCAGCACTTTCTGAAGCTCTTCAGTATTTAAGTGTTTGTTTACAGATCATTAACTTCCCCACAAGAGGCTGAAGGGCAAGGAAACTGATAACTAAATACTAGACAAGGCTACAAATCAATCAGATAAGATGAAGCACCACTAAAAAGGGAATGGAAGTCAATAGGAAATAAGATTTCATTTATATACAACTTCTCAAGAATGTATCTCAAAGCAGAGACTGCATAGCATCCAACAGGAGTTTTTTTCAATAAAGTGGGAACCAAACCACTATTCTCCCCATACTCAGATTGACAAACGATCCAACTAAACTCCAAACCTATTTAGAAATCTGAATGCCAGCAGGTTCCAAGTCAAACATTCTCCATGTAATAAGTAGGCACTTAGTAAACTGCTGTGCCACAACCCGTAAGGTGAAATTTCAGGTTTATGAGTCCTCCTGAGAAGTCACTGAGAACATTTACATGAGTTACAATTCCCATCAGGGGAAAATGACCTCAATGAAATAACTACTGATCTCCTAGACAACACCCAATTCCTCCTTTCTGATCTCAAACTTGAATTACTAGATTATGTGTATGCATGTATCATATATGCACATATGTATATGTATATATATATACACATGTATATGTGTATATATATACACATAGGTACTTACATATATGCATACACAAATTTAAATTTTCAATGCGGTTCATATTCTTAGGATTAAAATAATAAAAAAATCTTGATGAAGATAATATGGAAAAGAAAAGCAACAAAAATAACTGTGGAAATAAAGATTTTTCAGGACCTGAAAAGGAAACAGAAAGAGAAAATAAAGACATTGTGAGAATGACTTAGTTTTTATCTGGGGGGTTTTATCCCAGGATAAACACAGAGTAACACTGCTATTCAATATGCAGAGAGTTGGCAAATACATGTTTCCTACATTTAAAGTAACTTTTACAGAATCTCAAATTCCCAGAATTGATGAATGTAGTGTTCAGTCCTTGAACCTCTGACTACCGCTCCAGTTCAGTGGGAGCTATCTGGGGGTAATCATAATTATGTGAATTAAGACAAGCCCCCATTTCTGTGTCTATTCTGTTACAATCAAAATAGAAACTAGATGTATAATATCAAAACATTTAATTAAGATGACTTAGCTTAGCTTTGAAGGAAGCGAGGGATTCTGAGAGGCGGGTTGATGGGAGCCTCTCAGACTCAATTTCTTCATTTGTAAAATGAGGATAATACTTGTATTAATTATTTCACAGGGTTGTTATGAAGAAATTACTCTCTAAACTTTAATGGACTTCACCAATATAAGCCATTATTATTATTATCATCATTATTTTTACCATTATCATTATTAACAAGTAACAAGGGCAAATAATCAGGTAGCAGAACCATTCTTAACACTCCACCCCCTCTTTCCTATATAGAAGTGGGAGCAATTCCTTACAAAATCAGGAGGGATTTCAATCTAATCCCTCTTTAATCCCCACTAATCCACC